AACTTCGTTTAGCTAATTATCAAATGCTAATGCTGCCTGATAAAATGTGCGAGCAAAACATATTAATTGCGAGGAAGGCTTTAAACAACACGTGTATCACTATGGTGGCACAAAGGGTCACAATCCCACGATTATTTTAAAAATTTGCAAGACAAACAAAATAGATCAATACAAAGTTCATCTCTGACTTACAATGGGAATGAGATATAATGACCACCGTTAATGTGATAACATGGAGAGTTGCCATATCAATTTATTTATTTATTACTTATTTTTTTTTTAACTTTATCCCCAATCATTGACTTGGCAACATTACAAACACTGGGCATCAAAGATTTCTGCACACTGTGAATAGAAGATCAATTCTGTGGGTTATATTAACCACATAAGACTATATACAAGTTTGACGATTTAGCAATACTCAGTATAGCATACCAAGCATGTTACAATTTTAAAAGCCACTTACTTCCAATTCACATTTTTACGAAGAGGCCAAGAAAGGCCCATCACACACTGATACATAGCAAAGCACACTACACAATAAACATAATATGCCTCTTCTACTCTATTCCTTGTCTAATTCACTTTCACTCGAGCTACTAGCATCTTCCTTCTTAGCTGCGGCTGTCTCTACCTTCTTATACGCCTTGGCCATTTCTTCACTCGAGCTACTAGCATCTTCCTTCTTAGCTGCGGCTGTCTCTACCTTCTTATACGCATTGGCCATTTCTTCAATAGGAACTAATGGTAGATAGCCAAATACACTATAACCTTTTGCCGTCAAGTCCTTAACCAATTTGTTGTACTTCTCGGAGAAGTACGCAGCTGTCAGAACAGCCATTTCTGTCAATCCATGCAAGGCTGGATAATGGTCAACTTTGTACCACACAATGGCCAAGTGGCTCATGGCAAAATGCTTGGACATCGTCCCAGCAAGGGAAAGGGCAGCACCTGGGCCACCAACCTTAGTCTCCTCTGCTAAATCATAGGCTATTTGAGATGCCTTCTTGACAAGAGATTGGGTTTTGCTCACTACCTTCTTGGCCAAAGGTGGCGCATACTCGTCAAATTTGTAAGTTCCTTCATCCAACTTGCATAAGAAATGAATTACATTAGGATGTGGAAAGTAACGAGGCAAGTCTATTTGAATAGAGCAATCCATAAAATGACCCGACATATGGAAAAATATCAAGCATCCAAAACAAGTACGTCAAACTACCGACGACTAAGAACAACCCATACCTTTGAACTTAAAACAATATCAAGTAAATGTTTGGTATGCAATACTTAATAGCACAAGACTACATAATGGACAAAATTCTAACTTAATATTCCTTCTTAAAACGGTCTATTGTACAAGTTTGGCACGACTTCCCTTTTACTTCTGCTTCTTGTAGAATAACTTTTTAATAAAATTTCACGAGATCAACTTCCTTTAAAAGTTCTTCTAATCAAACAAAACACTTTCAAAAAGTTATTTAAACATGCTCAAAAACAGTTTCTTAACATCAAAACAACTTTTGACTTCTCAAAAGCCCTACCAAGCGAGCCCGTTAAAAAAATACACCTTGAAACAAGCCATAGTAATATTATAAAATAGGTCGAACTCATGCAAGATGGTATCCCCCCCCCCCCGGCACACCCCCCAGGGTGCAAATTCATTGGTTATTGTTAGAAGCAGCAGTCTTGCTACCACGGCCTTTCAACAAGTTCAAATGCATTTACTCTATACGTGGGAACGAACTCTTGAATGGAGGGCCTACAAATTGAAGAACGCAAGGAGAAAAAACGGAACAAAAACAAAAGAAAATGCAAGATCGAAATATATTCACTTCCTGTAGTAACTTGTACATTATTTAGTGCTTTCATTTCTAAATGGGCAGTTATATTCACGCCACATTTTAATTATATTAAAGATCATTAACTTTAATTCATCATCACACTTATATTCTTGATTTTTTTTCTCCATCACATTCTTATATTTTACATTTTATTGATTAGAAAAATATCTCATGGTTTTCGACCAAAAATATTGTTATAGTGCTTTAAAATGAGAGTTAAATATTTTGAACTTAGCTTTCCTTGTACATCCTGCGGTATAGAACTGATGACAAATGAAATCTCTCTTGTTGATGTGGATTTTGCGTGAATAAAATAAAAAGTAGAAACTTGGAAATTTCATCAATCACCTTTTCTGTCAATGGAGATGTACAAGTAGCAAACTCCAATATTTAATTGCATTTTTGCATTACCATTATTTTTGTTTATTTAAAAATACAATGGAAAAATGAATATTTTTACTATATGCTAAAGAAAATTTTGGAGAGAGAACAATTTATTTTAATTTTAAAATAAAAATATGAGGCAAAAAAATTAAGACATAAATATGATAACATGTAAATGTTATGAATCCTTCCTGCAATTCAAACAGTCTACTTGTTAAAATATGCGAATATATTTAGCTTCCTGAATTCAAGAATCGTTTCCCATTCCATTAAAGAACACTTGAAATATTTAAACCATTTCCCGGTCAGATATAAGCAAATCAATGGATCCTAATAACATTCACATATCATCAAAATCAACGAATTCAGAAGCTTGGCAACAGAATTTCAAACCAATATATAATATAATTTAATACCGTTCAAAACAAGTACAATAAAATAGAAAACTTGATTTACCTTCTTATCAAGGAAAACAAGTAGATCACCAGGAAAGCCTCTAAATTTCTCATAAACGGGGCAAACAACAGCTGTGACGGCGTTTTCCACAGTTTCAACAGCAGATTTAAGAGGACCAGAATTCTGCTTGGCGTAATCATAGAGATTTGATACAATCACCGCAGTATTGATCGCGATAATCCTCACAAACTGTAGGTGCTTCAATTGCATCTCACCCCCCTGAGTCCCCTCACATATAGATAACCAAGGAACAAAGCACAGTATAACAAATCAGTAATTAATAAAAAATGAATTAAATTTCGTCAATAAACATAAGAATAATTCTTAATTACCTCAGTGTAAGACATGATTTCTTCGAGCGACGATTTTTTGATACTTTCTGTGAGCGTTTGAAGGTGGAAAATGAAGCGGATTTTTACCGTATGTGTGCTCCGTCATTTATAATGAGGAGGGTGCCACGTGTCGTATTGTTAGAGGGCTTTAGTTGACTGCGACTCAAAGAGACGTTTGGGGACACTAGAGGTTTCTGGAATAAGTTCGTTTTCGAATAAATAAAATCTCATGGTCTGAAATTTGGATAGAAAGATAACGAATTTTCGGAAATTGAATTGTCTAAAACTTATTTTAGTGAGAATTGTCAATTAATAGTGCTTGATTAGTATAATTTTTCACCTGAAAAATATTGAAATAAAAGCGTCTTTCGGTGTTCGTTTAGCTTTGGTTTTAATGAAAATTGTCAATTTAAAAGATATTATTTTTTACAATTGTTCCTAAAATTTGTCTCCATTGCAAAAAAAAAAAAAATTTAATAATAATAATAATAATAATAATAATAATAATAATAAATCCAAGAAAACCAAAAACATCTATTTTTTGTGTTCGTTTGACTTTGTTTTACATGAAAATTGTCAATTTAAAATATATCATCTTTTATAATTATTTCTAGAATTTGTTTCCATTGCCAAAATAAAAACAAAAAAATAAAAAATAATAATAATCAACAAAGTGTTACGAAAACCAAGAAATGGTAACCGTGTGAGGCAAAGCAAGAATTTCAATTGTCAAGAAAATTTTTAATCAAACAAGCAAAAAGTGGAAAATGGAATTCATTTTCTATTTTCCATGGAAAAAAAATGGTGTATCATACATAGCCGAGTTTTAATCAAAATTTAAAATGGTAAAAATGGTAAGTTACTTTAACACCAAAAGACTGATAAAATTTTCAATATTTATTTCACGTTAAGCAATACGCGAAGTAATTCTCAACATAATATTAAAAACAAGACAATAGTTGGATCAATTCATCAACTTTCCATTATAATAGATTTCTCAAAAGGAAAAGCTCTTTATTATGATATCTCAAAAAACATACGAATCAAAATATGACTTCTAAACTAAGTTTAGATTTTATATCATTTCAAAAGAAGATTATTTTTAAGTTACATGAAAAAGAAGTAGCTTATAAAATTAGGCAAACATGAATTAAGTTTCTAGTGTTAAGATTGGGAATATTTATCACTTAATTACATTCCTCCAGTTGTTCGTTTCCTGACTTTGGTGTTATTGCAGTTTTGGCATTTGTCTAGCATTTCCCTTTGTCAGTTTCTAAAAGCTATTTTTTAGACTAAAAAGGCAAAAACTAAAAGCAATACAAATTCAACTCAAATGTTTACTTTATTAAACAACTGGCCATATATCAGTTAAGTATACCTATTTCGGTCGATTTTTAGATTATGCACATACTTTCGCAAGGCTATCCAATGAATACAGTATCGTCGTTAGGGAAATTATTCAAGTACGATGCGTCACTATCATTACAGATTGGTTTAGGTGCCAACAGATTGCAGAATAAAAATAAAATGGCTAAGAAAGGGAAACCAGTAGCATCAAACGAGAATTTTCAGACAGCTTGAGATTTCTGGCGCTTTATGTACTGGAGGATGGGCTCTTTAACCTGAAAATACGAAAACATTATACATATATATCTATGCTTTTCTTACGTACCATGTCAAGTTACAATTAAATCAAGTTGGGACGAAGAATTAGGAGCATACCGTGCTAGCTTTTCTAGCACACTTTTCTTGAGTAGACCTGCTGCACATAACTGTGTCCGTCTCCTCCCGGGCATTGTCGTGCCCATTAGCTCTACCATCTTCAATCCCGGGTACAAAGCTTTCCCTCGAAGTTACTGGCTGAAGAACGCCATAATACGACTTTATAATACAGAATTTATGGAGAATTTTTTACTAAGATACGATCAAAATCACTGGACTTACCTTGGCTCTGCTTGTAGGAGTGTTTCCGAGCTCTCTTTTCCTCGAGACAGTCTGCTCACTTCTTATAGAGTCATTTTGGAGTCCATCAGGTCTGCCTCGTGTGCGGGTGAGATCTGATCCAATTGAGTGAAGGACACCGCAGGTGGATAAGTCCTTGTGGTTGTTCCCTGAATAGCCACAATGATCTCAAGTTTCAAATATAATAATATAACTTTGAGACTGACTATGAATTGATGCAATAGGAAGAAGATAATCAGATTCAACACCTTTAGTCGGTAGATTGTTGAACTTGTTAACTGATTCGTTTGCATCCAGATCCTAATTAATTTCAACATAAGAATCCATCAAATATTATCTTGATTGTTTAAGTAGTTAATAGAATCAGAATGAACAATACCATGTCTTCCATGTCCATTAGGGCCTTCTTGACTTCCATCAGCTTTTTCTTAGTAAGATCAGAGTGGATTACACGCTTGCCTGTGACAAACATAAAATGAAAATCTCAACTTAGGCCCTGTTTGGCCTCCATTTTTTCAAATTAAAATGGGTGGAATAGTTTTTTTTTTTTTTTTTTTTTTGGAGAATGAGTAGTTTGGAAAAAGAAGGAAAAGTTTTTGCGTAATATTATTTTATGGAAGATTATGTGATTGAAAATAGGGGAGAGAAAAATGAAATTTAATTTAATGGGAGCCAAACGGCTTCAATAATTGAATCTTCATCACGTGGAGTCTGGATATATTTACCTAGTCTGCGGTTGCTCTTGGCCTCAAGAAAGCCGTCCCGAGTCATTTTATCTATTAGCTTGCGTGCAATATTAAGGTTTGCTTCACCCTCAAGCTTGCTCTGAAGTTTTGCCACCGATATGTAGTTCATTGAAAGGGCATGATATAAAGCCTGAGTCCAAGAGCCACAGTTATAAATACGCTACGCAAAGAAATTCTGAGGAATCTGAAATTCTTTGATTATAAGATGCCACCGAACAGCTATCAGGTATTAAAATGAACTCAACCATAGAAAAGGGAATAACGGGATAGACACAGAGTCGGGATATACAAGCAAAAAGGATACTGTATTCGAGTGAAATTTTAAATCAGGACAAGGTGGTTGTAGATAGTGCTAACTTCTAAGCACGAATTACCTAGGACCTGAATCTTGAAATGGTAGAGAAAAGATTGAACAATTCTATTTGTTCAAAGTGAGGATCATACTGTGTGATGTGACGGGTGATGTGGGGGGAAATGATAAAGCTGTTTGAATTTGAGACCCACTCTATTCATCTTATCATCGAATGCCATATCACATGGAGATCATCCCCACTTTGTACATATATCATTACTCGAAAATATTTACCTTCATGTATTTACCTTCATGTACATGTGATCTGCACCCATATCATTGGCCACTGTCCGACCTTCCATTTCTTCTTTCACAGCATCAAATTCATAGTCGAATTTCTGAGTTGTAAAATTTGTTTAGGAAAAGATCATAATTAATAGTATAATAAAAAGCAGGAAAAATCTCAGCAAACCTTTTGCTTGTTAATGTCATAACTATCTGCACCAGCTTTAGTAACAACACATTCTTTAACCAGCTTGTCCATAATTTCTGGTACCAGTAGAAACAATTCCAAATTGTTCAAAACGGCTAAAAAATAGAGCATTAGGATCTTGTTTTTATCAGTTTTAACCCGAAAAATGTCCATTTACCTTCTATCAGAACCTGCAACCGTTAAATTGCAACATTAGTCACAACTTAAATGCAGTAAAGATTTAATTGAACTTTATAAGGAACCAATTTTTATCAGCAAGGGACAACTGCATAATAACTCTTTACCACTGAGATGTCAGGGAAATTAGAAAGCACATCAGTGAACTTGACAGTATCAAGGTAATAAGATCTGATCCACTCCTTTACACGCCCCAACTGTTGTACATCTTCTTCTGGGTCCTGAGTGTCATCTGCATCGAAAAAGAAATGTACATCAGGATCTTCTAAGGTCATCAGTAAAGAACTCCCTTAAATGGTTAGTGCAGCTAGACTGATACCTTCATAAACTGTGTTGTTATCTTTACGACTCTGTTTCTGGTCTATGGAAAGAAAAATGACAGGAATTGTTACGACTTGAGAAAAATAGTAGCAATAAATTGCTATAAGGAGACAAGAAAAGGTCATGTGCAGTACCAACTGGAGCCACTATGTATTGATCATTATCTGAATTACTGAACTGAAATATGAAGTTAATTTTCATAAGATTTTATTATGTTCAAGAAAATTTGATCCTAGAAAAAAATTAATTACGAGTATTTACAAATATGCAAAGTGATTAAGATTCATATTTAGAAGTGTTAAAGAATTACCTCACTATCAGATTCACTAATTACATCTCTTTTGGGAGAATCAGCACCCAAGCTTACATCATCATGATAGTCTTCGTTCTCATCCTCACAAGGATCAAGCACACTCTTAACCTGAACAGAACACAGGAACAAAAGTTGATCACATTTGAATAAAGACATAAGCATCTTGCAGTACCTGTAAATTCATCCCCTACCCTTAGAGCCAATACAAAGTGCTTGCTGTTGACATTGCCAACCTCCATTTTCAAGGGACTTCTAGTCCATGGATGATGAGCTTCCTCTTCTATACAGCCTCTGAAGAAGGGAGGCTCGTAATCCACAGGCTGCAACAATGGGAAGCAAGTTGCCTTAATGTTATTTACTGATTATTGAAAAGAAGATAATGCAGAATTTGACTAACTGAAAGTGTTACAACCCCAAATCCAGAAAGTAATTGTTGTACAATTATAGAGAATACTCAATGCTCTGCACTTATTCACTTTCCTAAGTCATGAAATCGTCAACAGAAAGCTACAATGCATATATCATGACACAAGAGCTTACAATAATCACAGCAATCCTTCGACGGGTTCTCACAAAAAACAACCTAGCATTTTCTATTGCAGCAGATTAAAATTTATGCAGACCACATTTCTAATGGGTTGGATTTTAAAGGATTATGGTGAGTTCTTTCAAATAACACAAAACTGCAGAAGTTAAAAGAAAAAGAGGCTATGTTTTATATTTAATTATTTGAACTTGCGATATTATTAAAGTCAGATCTTATATATTGCATTAGTTTCCAATTTAGATATCTAAGTAAATGAAATAAATC